CAGAGCTACATAGAGAGATCCTGCCCCAAAACAAAACAATACAAAACCCAAAAGACCCCATAAAAACAACAACAACAAAAAATCAAAATAAATATTTCTTACATTTCTGTTCAGGTTTGTCTAAAGATGAGTGCTCATTAAATATCCCTAAAACCTCTCAGAAATATAGAAACAAGGTTAAATGTTAAGATTATGATATAGAATAATCTCTAAGAGTGTTGGTAGGGGGCTGCAGAGATGACTCAGTGGTTAAGAGTACAGCACCAGCTACTCTTCCAGAGGGACCATGTTCAATTCCCAGCACCCACATGGCAGCTCACAACAGCCTGGCACCTTTGCACAGACATACATGCAGGCAAAAATGTCTATGCACATAAAAATAAATAGATTAAAAAATAAACCTAAAAAAAGAGTGTCGGCAAAATTGAAAATGTGTGTGTTTTCAGAATACAATACAGCTAGACCAGTGGTTCTCAACCTTCCTAATGCTGCGACCCTTTAATACAGTAATTCATATTGTGAACCCCAACCACAGAATTATTTTCATTGCTACTTCACAATCATAACTTTGTTTCTCTTATGAATCATAATGTAGATATTTTTGGAGACAGAGGTTTGACAAGGGGGTCATGATCCACAGGTTGAGAATCACTGAATTAGGTTTGTCATTCTCTTCAGGGTTGGGGGGGTTGTCTTTGCTTCTGTGGTGTTGGTGACATTTGCTTGATTTGTCAACAAGAACAACTTTGCGGTGACACCTTGTGAAACCTTCATGACCATAGCTGATGAGTGACTGGAAATTAAGTCTGGCAAAAGTTGAAATAAACTTTTCAACAATAAAAGTCATCTTAAAACCTTAAGTTTGTTCAGGTTTGAGAAATGTAGTTATTAATTCAGCACTGCAGTAATTCCTCAGGAAACATAAACTTAGGCTGATCTGCTTGTGGCCTCCTGACTTTACACAGAGTGTAGGAGTTAGATGTGTTTGGGTCTGTAGTAAGTATGAGAGCCTGTGCAATTTGAAGGACATGCAGCTACAGTGCCTGCAAGGGTTTTTTCTTCAGTGGCATGCTGGCAGCCATAGTTCATGGGTGCTTATTTTTGCACTAGAACTGGGGGACCTAAGAGTTAAGAATGATAATATACGTAATTAGAAACACTAGAAATAACATTAAAAACCACCTGTGTGCAAAGCAGACAAGGAAAACTGCGTTTTGTGGTAAGGCTGTCATTCAGAGAGGAAGATAATCACCGAGTGTTCCAGATGACGAAAGAGAAAAACAGGGAGAAAAAGCTGATGGATTCCCCCTCCCCATATTTTTGGAGATAGGGTTCCCAGTGTAAGCCCTGGCTGTCACGGAGCTCACTCTATAGACCAGGCTGGCTTAGATCCACCTGCCTCCATGTGCTACCACATCCAGCTTGTTGGTGCTTCTTAGATACTCACAAGGCTTGGTGCAATGGAATCTTATCTCATGTTGTCATAGCTAAGGACTAAAAGGATTTTTTGAGGGCTTTTGTTTGTTTGTTTGTTTGTTTTTTGAGACAGGGTTTCTATGTGTAGCTTTGGAGCCTGTCCTGGCACTCACTCTGTAGACCAGGATGGCCTCCAACTCACATAGGTCCACTTGCCTCTGCCTCCCAAGTATTGGGATCAAAGGTGTGCCCCACCACTGCCCAGCTATTTAGTTATTTTAAATTAGCTTAGGGGCTGGGGCTGTAGGCTCAATTGGTAGAGCGCTTGCCTAATAAGCGTAAAGTCTTGGGTTCCACCCACAGCGCTGAATAACCAGGCATGGTGATAGACACCTGAAATCCTAGTATCTGGGAGGTGGAAACAGGAGGGTCATCCTCTCCAACATGGCAAGTTTAAGACCAACTTGGGGTTACACAAGACCATGTCTTAAACATCCCCCACTCTTAATGAATAATTTAGTAGTAATATAGATATAAAACTAGCTTAGCATTACGAAAGATGTCTATTTGCAAGTTCCAAAATCTTGCAATCTTAAATGAGTTTAACTCAGGTAACCAGCCTAGGTAGGGTTTGTGTTCAATCTCAAGTTTCCTTCATGTTGTGTGTGACTCAGTCTTTGGTTACTGAAGGACAAGTTTTGCTCAACCACGTAACCTAGATTTCCATTAAACATCTTATTAATTCACTTGAATAGATAACTAAGGTCATACCTAATCCAGTGCTTGACAATTCTGAAACCAACTCTAGGTTCAATTATCCTAACCTTAAGCCAACTTTTAAGTTTCCAGAGGGGGCCTTGTAGCCTCAGGGTCTCTCTTTTATAAAAAGGGAGCAATTAAAGTAGGCTTATTTGATGTTATGGGAATCTTTGTCAAGTACGAAAACATGAAGCCTTCTTTAGGTTGTATTTGTTACAGGTGTTACTCGTATGAGCTGTAGAAAATTCTTGAAAATCTGGTGATGGGGAAGTCCTGTGTATATGTCAATAAAGCATTGTTGGCCAATAGGGAAGCAAGATAGGTCGGACTAGGAGTTCAGGAGGATTCTGGGTAGGAGAAACACAGGGAGTCACGATATAGCCCGCCAGAGAAGTAAGATGTCTGGAACTTTTCTCCGGTAAGAGAAATACTTAGATTAACAATTATGGGATAAATACTTAAGCCAGAGCTAGCCAGTAAGAGACAAGCAAGGCCAACAGCTTCATAATTAATACAGCGTCTTGTGTGTTACTTGGGAACTACAATGTGGCAGAGCCCAGGTGACTGGTGGGGAAAAACCAAAGCTGCTGGCAAGGAAAAGGCTTCTCTCTACAATCTGGTATATCCAGGTATAATTAAGTATACTTAACATGTGTCACAGAAAATTAACAGCTCCTTAGCCATGCCTTCCTTTCACAAATGTTTACTTTGACTCTCGGAGATGAGAGGTTATCTATCAACTCAGTCTCAGGCTACTTCTTCCAGGATGTTTACATTACACAAGTGTCCATATCGTCTTAGCATCGCTGTCTTAGCGCTTCTGCACTTTATTACGAAACTGGTGGGCTCACTGCCATCCCCAGGTAAGTCAGAACAAGAACTCCCTGTCTGAGTGACCTGGTATTTCACATTTTTAAAGACAACTTTAAATTTTGCTGGTTCTGAAGTTTTTTTGTTGTTGTTGTTGTTGTTATTGTTTGTTTTTAAAGGAAGTCTTTCCCCTCTCTCCACCTTACTTTGTGAAAGATGAAATACGTGTCTTTCTCCTTCCTGACTTTTCTAGACTCTGTAACGTGTTACTGGATACTCTGCATTTGCATGTGAAGGTCGGAGGACAATTTCAGACGCTGTTTCTCAGGTGTCATTTTTAAAAGAAAGGATCTCTCACCAATTAGACTAGGGTAGATGGCTAGTTCATCCCAAGAATCTGTACTCCCAGTTCTGAGATAACAAGGTTTACCATATCTAATGTGAAGCTCAGGTACTCACACCTGCAGAGTAGCCTTTATTGACTGAGCTATTTCCTCAGCTCCAGGCAGACTCAACTTTGGTAACCAAGGGTGACTTCATGGTGACAAGGACTTGTGGGAAGAACTGGCCTGGCTCCTTGAATATATAACTGCCTCACTATGACAAAGTGTGACTTTAGAAATCCACAGGAACTTTTTTTTTTTTTTTTGGTTTAACGAGACAAGGTTTCTCTGTATTGTTTCGGAGGCTGTCGGTCCAGCCTGGCCTCGAACTCACAGAGATCCGCCTGCCTCTGCCTCCTGAGTGCTGGGATTAAAGGCGTGCACCACCACCGCCCGGCCACAGGAACTTTTTTGAAGAGAGAGCTACCCAAACCCACAGGTGCTGCTAGCAAAAGCCTTGTGGTCTAGCCTGGATGTGGCTGCCTGGCTTGAACACACTTTCAAAGTCTAACCTGAGGTTCTGAGAACAAAGTCCTGGTGTCACAAACACAGGGGCCTGTCTGCACTGTTTCCCTGCACGGGGTAAACCAACAGACCACTTGTAAACAGATCTGCCCTACTCTGTCTGAAATCCTAGGGGGCTACTTCAGAAGCTACCATGTGCCCAGCACCGGGCCCATCATCTCTTACGATGTTTCACCACCCAAGATCTGGAGTGGAACCCAAATTCTTCCCTTTACTATCTGAGGATCACTCTCTATACTGTGATTTCCAACTGCTTCCTAACCCTTCCGCAGCCACTAAAACAGCCACTTCCCAGCCATGCCGGTTGCAGCTGTGCAACCTGACAGGCCTTCAGAGAAACCACAACTCACAAGTGAGAAACTCTTGTGACTGTGGAACAATGCTACATGCTGCCCAGAGCGGTGGGCTGTCCCCAGCTTCCAATAAGGAGATGCAATCAGTGGGCACTGTCTGGACACTGCAGCCTCAGGAGAACACATTTCCTGTTCTGAGCCCAAAGGTGGGAACAACCTCCTCCTCCTACAACTTGTTCAGGAGTAAGGGCAGCACCCCACAAGCCACCTGGACACCCCAAGGGCAGGCAGGAGGGAGGCACAGGCCTCAGTTCCCTAGGGAGAGTGCCTTGTTTACGGCAGAAGGGTGAGGCAGCAGGAAGGCCTGCGGTGCCATACCTCAGATTCCTTCCCTTGCTGGCTTGAGCCACCCTCCATGGTTCCTACAACCCTCTTACTCTGAGGCTAAGGCTACTTGTGGCTAGAATCCTCTCTCAGTCTGTGCCAGCATCTCCAACCTTGGGGAGTCATCCAGGCAGCAAGGTCACCCACCAGGTTCCTTTGTAGGCACAGGGTCCCTCCAGCTGAGAGCTACCAAACTCAGCCAGAGGCCCAGCATCCTCTGTATTGTCTACCTAGTGGCTAACTGCTACTCTAAGCTCTCTAGAAACAGAGGTACCCCAGCTTATTGGGCCAGGCACACTTGAGAGGACATCTCACCAGATCTGGGGATATCACTGGGAAAGGTCTCAAAGGAGCTATCAGGAAGCCCTGGTAACAGTGCAGTCCCAGCAAAAAAGGGGATTCAGTAAGGTCTCAAACACACCACGGGGAGGAGGGCTGCTGGGAGTTTATTCTCTGCTTGGTGCAAGGCACGGTTATGGGGTCAGGAAAGCTCAGTGCTGTGAACCAAGAGGGGGGGCTCTCTCCAGCTCCTGCTGGTGTCTGTTGCTTGCTGCAGCCTTCCTAATTTACAGGGTGGGGCGGATGGGTGGGGCTCTGGCCTAGCCTCGCTGAAGACGAGTTTGCTGTGGTTCTGCCAGGTCAGGACGGGGCCCTCGTGTTGGCCTGGTCAGGATGGATGACTGGCTGCTGCTGCTGCTTCATGGTTTCAGGATCCAGGCCGCGGGTGATGGGGCTTCTGGAGGCCTGGGGGGATTCTGCCGAGCTGCAGGGAGAGGACAAGTCAGTGGGTCAGAAGCTGGTTTTAACCGGGACCATTCCCACAACCTTATGGAAGACGGACTCACTGCTCAGGAGACTCCAACACTGTGGTCATGAATGGGAGAGTGGGCTTCCCGAAAAAGAAGCTGGTCCACCAGTGGCCAGGGTCGGCCTTGGGGAGACCTGGGAGGTGCAAAGGAGAGTCAGGATGTTGTCATCCCAGTGGCATCCCTGTCCCTCTCCACGTTCCTCCCACCTCAGGATGTGAACTTTGCCCTTACGCTGCTTGCTGGTTCTGCACTCACCCGGGGATTGGGGCACGGCGTCCCCGGGGTACTCTGCACTTCCGCAGGAGCTGTTGCTGGACGAGGAGCCCAGGCGTCCTGGGGAGGGGAGGCTGGTCAGCCACAGGGCGCTGGCCCAGCTCTGGGCGGGGTCGGCGAGGGGCTACTTACGCCGATAGTAGTCATGGGTAGCCACGAGCGAGCCGCTAGAAGGGATGGCTGCCATACTTCAGGACCCGCGAGCTGTGGAGACCTGAGCAAAACGCGGGCCTGGTCACCGCACAGAGAAGTGGGTTCCGAGTCCCTCGGCCCTGACAGGCTTCCGGGTGGTTCCAACCAGCCAGGACCGGCTGCGCGGTGAGACAAAGGCGCTTTGTATGCACCCGGCCCCTAGAAGGCGCGCGCCTCCCCTAGCCGGCTGCCACCACCTTCGCCACTACCGCCGCCCTCACCTCGGCGGCGACCCCTCCTCGCAGACCTCGGCGCGCGATCACAGGTGGTAATGCGTGGGGCACTAGGCCTGGGAACCCATTTGCAGGGCTAACCCACGGGAGCCCTCAACGCTACGACCCGTGCGCTCTGCGCACGCGCGCACCTACTCTCCAGCCTGCACAGGCCACAACAGACGCATCACGGTGAGGCGGTGCAAGCGGCAAGGACCCGCCTCCACCACGGAGGCCACATCCTAGAGATCTTTGAGCCTTCCCTCTGAGCCCTGGCACGATAAGGACCCGCCCTTCCCTATTCGACTCCTCCCGGAGCCGAGCGAGGATCCGCCTCACTTTCCTGCAACGCTGGGCTCTGCAGGTTCTACCTTGGCCCAAACCGCCTTGATCAAACATCAGTGGTCCACCTCTAGGCAAAGTCCAACTCTGCTGCTTTTTCCGTCCTTGTTCGGACTGGGAGCACCTTGCCCCAGATAGAAGTGGTTAAAGTATCTCCCGCAGGACCTGTGCCCTCAGTCTGTGCGGTCTCCTCGGGTGTGGCCTCACGTAGCCTGTCTATTCCCCTTTACTTGCTGCTGTCCTCTGCCTGCGCGGGTCCTCGCAGGCTTTGTTTTCCAAGTGCCGCACTCCGATTCTTGGCAGAGTGGGTCTGTGTAACTCACATAACTAAAGAAGGGGCAGCTGCACCCCACCCCCCACCCTGCAAGCTTCTGCGTCGCAATCCCCGTTTTCTGTCGCACTGGATAGTGCCTGGAGCCCCCAAGCGTCCCTTCAGGGACTAGCCCGCTCTTGGGAAGCTGAGGAGCCACCCGTGCCCCTTCCAAGTCGTGGTTCTCACTCACTGTTCTGTTGCTTAGAAAGGAGTGATGGGAGATAAGATACAGACGAAGGCTTGCGGGGCAGGGAGAACTGCGAACAGACGCAATCTCTAGTTGCTAGCATCAGGCAGAGGCCTTCACTATTGCACGATTGGTCGGAGTCCTGTGTTTGGGGGAATCAAGTGCTTGGAGGTCTAGGGCTGCATACTCTGGCCTCCCTTCCCTTCCCAGGCAGTCAGTTTTCTGCCGCATCCCCATGGGGATTGGGAGGACCGTAAGCCCCCTATGCGCAGGATGCTTCTCCTATAACCAGAGATGCTAAACTTGCCTTCATGGGGGGGGGGGGTCAGGAAGAACCTGGACTAGTAGGACCCAAGGAGTGCTCTCATGTCCCCAAGGACTCAAGGAGGCTTTGGCTGAGATCCTTTGCTTGGATTTGTTGAGACCCACTCTGTGCAATCATTGAGCTAGGCATGGGAAACCCGACAAGAAGTGATCCAGTAGGGGTGCTGGTTTAGAGGCAATAGGGATATAGGTAAGGTTTGAGTTGAGATATAATGAAAGAGTGCTGGGGGCAGTTGACATTACAGCGGCAGGAGTGGGTAAGACCACTGGTAAGGCAGATTGGCCAGTCCAGATGACATCAGGAGGGTGAGACCTCTGCCCAAACCAGGCTTGCTTCATGGCTTCAGGCTCCGTGACTTACCCTGGACTGCCCTGATCAAGTATATGGGCATCTCCAATGGTTATTAGCTGTTTCTTCTAGTGAAACATTCCCTCTGGAAAGGAAATAAGGAATCGTTCAAGAAAACAGCAGAGTTGCTGGAGGTTGGAGCGGTGGTGGTAGTGGTGGCGCACGCCTTTAATGCCATCATCACTCAGGCAGAGGCAGGCGGATCTCTCTGAGTTCGAGGCCAACCTGGTCTACAGAGGTAGTTCCAGGACAGTCAAGGCTACACAAAAGAAACCCTGTCTTGAAAAATCAAAACCAAGGGCTGGAAAGATAGCTCAGAGGTTAAGAGTACTGACTGTTCTTCATGAAGTCCTGAGTTCAATTCCCAGCAACTACATGTTGGCTCACAACCATCTGTAATGAGATCTGGTGCCCTCTTCTGGCCCATAGGCATACATTCAGGCAGAACACTATATATAATAAATCTTTTTAAAATTTTTTTATTTTATTATTTTAATTTTTTAAAAACTATTTATTAACTTTATTTTATTTGCATTGGTATAGAAGGTGTCAGATCCCCTGAAACCAGAGTTACAGACAGTTGTGAGCTGCCATATGGGTGCTGGGAGTTGATCCTGGGTCCTCTGGAAGAGCAGCCCAGTGCCTTATTATTTTAATTTTAAATAGCTTGCTTCACATGTCAATCCTAGTTCCCTCTCCCTCCCCTCTTCCCTCACCCCCCCCAGCCATCCCTCCCAGCCTCCCACCCTATCGCCACTTCCTTCCACATAGGGGATACCCAGAGTCTGTCATCTCACTCAGGGCAGGGTCCAGGCACTCCCCCAAGAGTTCAGGCTGAGAGAGCATCCCCCTTTGTGTTATGGACACACAAAGTCTGTCTATATGCCAGGGATAAACACTGATCCACTGCCCAGGATCCCATAGGTTGCCCAGGCCTCCTCACTGACCCCCACACTCTGGGGGGCTGGATCAGTCCCATGTTGGCCTCCCAGCTGTCGGTCTGGGGTTCAAGAGCTCTCCCCTGTTCAGATCAGCTGTCTCTGCTGGTTTTGCCAGCCCATTCTTTGCCAATTTGCTCATCGCTCTTCTCTCTGTCACTGGGTTCCATGGGTTCAGTTCAGTGTTTAACTGTAGGTGTTCACCTCTACTTCCATCAGACTCTGGATGAAGGCTCCAGGGTGGTTATAGACATCAAGGAATGGGCATTCAAGGTGGTCTCTCCACTATTGCTTAGCTTTCCAGTTGGTATCATCCCTTTAGATCACTAGAGGTCTCACTGGTACCTGATCTGTCTTCTAACCTATGGTTCCCTCTTCCCCCTATTCTACCCTCCACTCAACCTTCTTGTTCCCCCATGACCTACTATCTCTTCCTCTTCTCCCCCTCTCTTCTTCCCAGCTCTCACTCCCCCCCCCCCTTGCTGTGTTCTCAATCTATTCAGAAGATCTTGCCTCATTCCTCTTCTCTGGGGTACCATGCATAACAAAAAACAAAGCAACAATTACAGGAACTCACAAGAGATTTTCCAACTCGCACTACACTTTTCTCCAGGTTATATAACAATTTCTGGAGACAAGGAGACTCTTCAGCAGAGTTGCCTACAAGTGGGGAACTCAAGTCATGCAGCTCCCATGTGTTGTCACCCAGGCTGATGTGAGCCTTTGATGATGCAGCTGTCCGAGTCTCCTACACTTTTGTGACTAACCCTTCATCCATTTTAATGCTGACCAAGTTGCCTAACATTCCTTCTGCCATGATGTCCCACCACAGACTGCACACTTCTTTAAGTCTCTTTTGTCAGGTAGTTTGTCATAACAACGAGAAAAAAAAAACTATTAAAATGGATGAGCAAAGCATTCTTGGATGGCTCCAGGGGTAGGAGAAAACCATGAGGTGTACCCAGAGGTGGGGGCCTTTGATGCCTTCGTGGGTGGAGCTGCCAATGGCAGGCTTTTTAGGGGGGCGGAGTCTGGACTGAGGCAACTCCAGGGGAGGGTGCCTGCGGCTTGGACCGGGACTCCCAAACAGCCCAACCTCTTTGGATATGGAGGGCTTCCAACTAAACAATGTCTGGAGTTAGGAGACAGAGAAAGAGAAATTCTGGGCTCACTCTCCCCCTTTTTCATTTATTCGATAGCACAGCCCATGCTAAAACAATGCTGTCCACATTTTAGGGAACGTCTTCCCGGCTCAGCTCCAATCTAGAAACTCCCACACGGATGTGCTCAAAGGTTTGTTTCCATGGTGATTCGAAATTCCATCAAGTTAACAGTTAGGATTAAAACCACCACACCCATGCTTTTGTCGGTAATTCTGATAAGCTCATTGGTTCAAAGCTAAACTCGGAACTCTCTTTGGTCTGTCATTGATGTCCTATCTGGGGTGAACAGATGTTTGTCCATGTTCCCCAGGAAAAGCTATGCGACATCTGTGTGCTTCAGGTCAAGGCTAGAGAGACCAGTCTGAGGGAAAGGGCTACTAGGACCCAACTGCAGAGAACTTTGGAAGAGGGTCTCGTACACCTTGTAGGGTCAGGGGTTGGACTCACGCTGCTTACTCATCCGCCCTGATTTTGGGGCGTGGTGGTTACTCAGCAGGGACACAGATGGGTCAGATATGAGTGTGCCACCTCTAAGGGTCCAGGCAATATGCATAGTACTATCCCAGGGTGGGGCTGAAGTGGAGGACCATCAGGGACTTAGGGTTTTCTTGGGAGGAACAGAGCTTCTCATGTGCCTCTTCCGGGATTGGATTATCTCTCTATTCATCGAATGGATCCTGATGTGTGCTGGGGACCATGGGAGGTCAACATGCAGAGATACATTCACTGAAGCAAAGGCAGCTGCCCTTGTCACTCAGGAAGTGGAAGTTGAGTAAGACCAGCCTCAGCACCTGCTCAGCATATATGAAGATCCCGAGACAGCAGGAACTATAGTACATTATTGGTTCCTTAAGGAGGTTGGAGCCAGGTCCCAAACCCAGGTCCTGTTTGGTGCACAATGAGGTGCCTTGCCTACTTACCACAGGAAACAGGGAGTGTGTGTGTGTGTGTGTGTGTGTGTGTGTGTGTGTGTGTGTGTGTGTGACTTGTGGTCACTGACTGAGCCTCACAGCCCGTGTTGTCCTGCCCTGTGGATGAGCAGCCTCTCTGAATCTGCTCAGTGGGACTAAGGCTGTGTCCTACCTGGGGCCTTTCTGGATGTCTCAGGGCTGGACAGTTTGGAGGTGCAGTCTGTCTCTAGCTATAGAAAACAAGGGCAGAAAACTATGTGTATGTGAGTTCACCATTGGCATGCACAGAGGCCAGTTGTGTCCAGATTGCTGCTTGGATGCCGTCTTTGTACAGATGACACTGATGGGCACATATCACATGGCCCAAGTGACTCATGACCAAGATTTCACACTGAGTGGTGGAAAGGAAAGGCTGGTACTCAGAGTTTGCATTGTAATGCCTACCTACCTGCCACCTGCCACTCCTGAGCCTGCATCCTCACAGATGGGTGCATGGGATCTATTACTCTTGAGCAATGGGGATGGGACCCATGTTTGCTGCCTGTACTCTGCTCCAGCCACAGGCATCTGGGATAAAAGTAGGAGTCCTGCCAAAGACTGAGACAGAACCAGAGTCCTCAGGACTCCTTACTCTACTCTTGGGGAATGCCCAGCCC